CTATGGCAGCTTCGTGGTATTTGATAACGCCCCGCTTTATGGAACACGAGCATTCCTGACATTTTCGAGGCGGTCCCTCTCGCTCGGTCGACGGGGTTTATAAACAATCGTCCGTGCAGCCGATGAAGTGCAAGCACATACATTTACATTAACCGAGTCTTCTGAGAGGATCTGAGTCATTTATGGTGGAAGCGGGAGACCGATCGATTTGCCAGTCAAGTGGGACTTTTCACTCCGAAAGGGTCATCCTCCGAGTCTCTCGTCGGCTCTACGTCTTTTTCTTCTCGTCAGTGATAAATAAACAAAGTAATCTCCGGTGAGTGTGACACGGGTATATCTCGATCAGTTTCCTGACGCGACAAGACAGTGCGGAGCATAGCTATTGTACGATGCGAAAATTGTCGCTATTATTATTTTCGGTAAAGTAGCAATAGTTTTTAAAATATAGTCGACTTGAAAATTGAAAAACTGTGGACATCGTCGAAATAAATTGCACTCAAGCATAGTGAATACCTGTGATACGTTCTTCGGTTTTGTCTCTTGCGGTGAACGGAGAGACGAGCAAATCTGTGTGTTATATTTGCTTCTTTTGCTTTCCTACTAAACTATGTTACTAAAAGTATCATCTGTATTATATGTATATGTGTTATCTAAAAATACGTGGGCATCTCAATCGACCGGTAAGATTTACAAAATTAAGGTTTGAGAATTTAATTCAGGCAATACCACGCGGAAATATGTCTCTTGTAAAGCCTTTGTCAAGTTTAGAGTTGAGAGTTGCGGCCTGTCTCTTGTGTGTATACCGTTGCTATCAAACACTCCTCGCTGTTTTGTCAATAGCGGCGTCTCACTCGTGTTTAATAGTAGGTAATCGATGTCTGTATCAATGTCAGTGTATATCCTGCATCTTCTATGTTACGGGACGATATTAGTGTATATATATTAATATTAAACCCGATGTTCGAGATCTTTGATTCGATAATTTTATCTAGTGCCCAATTTATTTTTCAATGGTACAACGTATAAATGCACTGATATGCAAACTGTATATATTGCAGTATATGCAGTATATTATTCTCAAACCTGATGTTCGCGTTCTTTGATTGTATCTAGTGCCCGGTTGAATTTTCACTTGTACAACGTATGAATGCACTGATATCCCTACCGGAAATAATCCTACAAAATTCTACAAAATTATAAACTACAACTACCAGAATCTAAGAAATTCTACGTAAATTTCAAAAGTGTTACAAAAATCAACGTGAATATGTTAGAATTGGAACACTTTTGTTAATTTTGCAATATATATTCTACAAGTAAGCAGATGTTTTAATTCTTTAAGATTTTGTTGTTTCCCAAATTTTTTAAACTAGTAAAGTTTTGTACCAGTTTTTATAAAATTGTACATTTTCGTGACATACTACTTGCAATAATTTCTTAATTTGAGAACATTGTAATTTGTGTGTGGTACTATTTCGTAGATACTTACTCATGAAAATCAATGTTTCAACGAAGATATAAAAATTTTTATTTCGAGTCAATTTTTTGTAGTTTTTTATAGAAATTTTTTCCGCTAAAGATGCAAGATATGTTAGAAAAATTAATCGTTATTTTCAAAAATAAATTTGAAATTACCAGAGAATTTAAAATGCAGTCGTCGCAAATTTTTAATTTTTTAAATCTTTACTATTATTTATTAATATTTTTTATGTTTTAATTTATTCTTATTATGTATGGATTATACTTACAATTAGCTTACAAAGATTGCAGGTCCTGTCGCTTATATATTTTTTTCAAGTCAAAGCAGGGAATCTTGTGTGTATTACATATACATATTTACGCAATGTATTGTATATTTCTTAATTATGAGTTATGAAAAGTTTTTATTTTAACGTACGAGATATTTGTGCGTAATCTCTGTAACAAGTAAAAATCACAAATTCATCGGTTTTACCTGTAAAATACCTATACAGAAATATCTCTCTCATGCTACGAAATATCTCTTGTGATTCATGATCAGAAAACATACATTGCGTGAATATACACAAGTAATAAAATTGACTGCTTTAAGTTAAAAATATAGACGATAAGACTTATCTTTGTAAATTTAAGTAAGTATGTAATGCACTCGACAACTTTGCTTCCATACAACAAGTTTATTTTGTAATCCATCGAGAATTTCTTTTGCAAAAATCACGCTGTAAAAATCTCTTGTTAACATCTTATAATATTTATTTAAATGTATACATATAGAAGAATGTCTCCTATTATGAGACAGGTTTTCAATATGAGATAGCAGAGTTTCTGCTAAATTAATATGCATCATCTGTTGATGCCACCATAAACTTATTGCCCTTGGAGTAAAATCTGTTTAGCGGAAAATTTATTGTTAGATCGTGTAATCGGCACGAAAAAAAGATTTGTGATTGAATTTGGATATTGACAACTTACTCATATTAGAAGTCTCTCTCATAATGAGAGAGTTTTCTCTATACACATACAATAGATATATTTAACTTGATGACACGTTCACAAAATTTTATATTAAAAATGTTTAGATGTCAATATTTTCTAAACAAAGCGTTTACGGTCATACCTTCAGGGAAAATTTTTCTCTTCTTTTCAAATCCTAAATTCATGCTTTAAGTTAGAACATTTAACCTCGAAACACCTGTACATACATGCAAAACTCGAAAACCTATATGCTGCGCGCTATCGGTTACTATTATTAAAAATCAAAAACTAATTGAAGTAAAGTTCTATCTTCCGCAAATATCGCCAAACCCATGTGTGAATTAGATACTGCGCGGCTTCGTAACATTGGCAGTCGATGTAAAGTAAACGGTAATGATTGATAATACGCGCAAAAAATCGTACCTAAGCCGTCGTAAGATAATTCTTCTATGAATCACGGACGATACCATTGGAAAAAGAAAAAACTATTCCCGAAAAAACAAATATACAAAGTAATTCGCTGTTTGCGATGATGCGGAACCCACATAGAATAAAATATCTAATCAATATCCAATGAATATCTATCATTGCACAAATCCATAGTTACTACGGATATCTAATAGAAATCTAATAGATATATAAAATGTCTATATCTCCCATACAGCACAGATGGTTGCAGTTACATTGTAGAAACGTTGCAATCTTGCAGATTGCAGTGCAATCTTGCAGATTGCAGTGCAATCTTGCAGAGACATTGTAGGGATATAAAATTGCAAACTTTCGATAGCAATATTGCAGCAATGTTTCAAAAATAATGAAAATACTATATTTTCTATTTAAAAAATTTTTCTAATTACGAGAATTTTATAATGTTATTTTCGTTGATACCAATAATGCGCGAAATATTAAGTACTTGATCAGTGCGGTGTTGCTCGCAATCTCCATCTATTGCGAAGCGACATAACCTCCTAAGGTTGCTTCGCAAAAGCTTGCTATGCTTTGAAAAAGGCCCGGATGTATATGTAATTAGTAAACTCTCTGCTTATGTACAACAACAACAAATTATTCCAAAAATATTGCACTGCAGCAATGCTATAATGTTGCACTGCAATCTCTCCTGAGGGCGGACATTTCAACGTTGCTGCAATATTGCAATCTTGCAATGCAACATTTCTACAATCTTCCTGCAATCTTTCTGTGCTGTGTGGGCTTTCGCATAACTAGCAAGAATATCTAATGAATATGCATATATTATCCACACATCCATGTCCACCAAATAGCTACAAGGACATCTATTAGATATTTACGTGTTGTCCACATGTCCATATCCACCAAACAGCTACCAAGGATATGCATTAGATATTCAAACTAGTACCACTTGCTGCCGCGACGCGGCAATCGCACGTTAGACTTTCTCGTAATTAAAATCATCCTGCAATAATATAAAAGGCGAGCCTACGAATGAATCCAACATTATCTCTGCTGACCAAGTGAACAGAATTTGAAACACATATAGGTACATGTACATACAAGGTGGTCAATTTAAGTGTGAACATGGAAATATCTCGAAAACTATGCATCGGATCGAAAAAATGGTCGGAATAAAAGTTGTTTGTCTCGAAGGGGCCTATCCATTGGAACCAAAATTGACACCCCTGATGGGGGTGGGGGAGGGGTAACTTTAAAATCTTCAATGGAAACCCCCCATTGTTTATTATACTATTTTATTCTATTAATTAATATGAATAACTTTTGTCTGAAACTTTTTTATTTGCCTACTACTTTTTGAGATATTCAAGAGAAAATTGATAACTTTGTAAATATTTAGCTTATGATATCTTGATAACTGTTTGTCGGAGAGAAAAGTAGCAGGACTTTTTTACTTGATTTGGTCTCAGAAATATGCTGTTACAATAGTGCTCCAATTATAGAAAATTTTTGTGTAATGTAACATCCACAAAATTTACATACTCAAAATTTTTCAATAATTAGAGCACTATAATTGGAACAGCATATTTCTGAGACCAAATCAAGTAAAAAAATCCTGTACTACTTTTCCCTTCGACAAACAACGAGACTTTTACTCCGACCATTTTTTTGATCCGATGCATAGTATTCGAGATATTTCCATGTCCACACTTAAATTGACCACCCTGTATAGTTATGTATGAACAAATTTCATGCATAATTTTGCAAAACTACGTACAGCTTTTTGTAAATAATTATATATGAAAGATTTTTTAACGGACAAATATTAATATACGTAGGTATAATGGATATCTATGGGACATCTGTATAAATATCAACTAGATACTGATATAGATGTCTAATGGATACTGGCACAAATATCCTCTGAATATCTATTAGATCTCGAATGACGAACATTTGGATATCTAAAGCACATCTAACGAATATTTTTTAGGTATTCGTGGATATCCTTAATATCTGTCGTGGATATCCATTAGATATCTAACAGATATTTATGTTCCTTGTGAATTGCGTGGTCTTCTTGATGTCTAAACAGAGTTTTATTTATTATTATGCAGACGACAACTCACAATTCTCTCACATTCGGACGGAGAAGTGGCGCGAGAAGTCTCAAGGATTGCGGAGCAAAATTTACTCCAGACTCTTGATACCACCCTTGATTACGAAGACATCGTGTAAGGATCTGGCAGATATGTCTCGAATCCCTCTTATGGCACCTGAGAGTGATTTGCAAGTCAAAGCAGATCGTCAAAATAATATCGTAATGCTTGAGGTATACGCTAAAAACAAATACAAACTTTTCATCAATACAGAGTTACTTAAATAGAAAATTTTCAATTTCAAATTTACGAGAATCCTAAAGTCATCTTTTTTTACCGACACATTTGAATACAGTTTTTACGCATGTAAATCTTTTTGTTGGCTTTCATGCACAAAATAATACCAGGATAAGTTGCAGACCGCGTAGCAGAACATTTTCATACTTAAAACAGTCAGTTGAGAAGTCTAATGATAAAGATATTGGTATTTGAAATTTTCAATTTTTTATTTGTGAACAAATGGCTTTATAAAATTACAAAAATTTTCCACACAATTATTCATTCATTCATTCATTTATTTAATGTTCCCCTTGGGGTTACATGGCGCTTTTTCAGGGGAGCGTACCCGAACCCCTAACACTCCTTTCTTCCTCTTAACCTGGCCTTTAGCGACCTTACATTTTACTATCTACCCCCCTTCTCCTCTTCCTCCTCTCCTCCTCTCCGATCGTTCCCTCTCCTCTTCTTCTGTTCTCCTCCTCCTCCGCTCTGTCCTCCTCTTCTCCTCTTCTTCTCTCCCTTCTTCTCTCCTATCTTCTACTCTATCCAAAAAACGCTCTCCTACATCTTACATTTATTCTTATTCTATTTTGTGCACGCGTGTCCCACGCACGTCCACGCGTCCACACCCGCACGCCTCTCTCCCCGCCATACATACACACCTCTCGCTCGCTTCCCCCCTCTAGACTTCCGTTTCCTCTTGCTTTATTATTTTACTAATAACCTTTCACTTACCCTCGTTCCATCCCCCTCTCTTATCTTCTTCCCCAGGTGCTCCCCTCTTTCATTCTCTCTCT